CTCCCCCCAAATTAGCCAGCCTGATGTATTTCCCTTCGTAATTAAAAATAAGGACTTCATCAATACAATAAAAACACGAATGCATCTCTGCTAATTTCATGACTGTAATCCAGATGTTTTGGGAAATTAATTTCCTTTTAAATGGAAAATAGGTTGGTAACAACATTTTGTTTTTGAAAGTCATTAGAATCCAGATTTGCTGCTCGCATAACCATAGCTTGCATTTTTATTACTGTATGGAACACCCATTCTAAAAGAGAGAAGATTTAAGAACATAATATAATTGATGTATATTGAACTGTTAAAAGTGCTCACCCTCAGGATGTGGGTTTCACTGACAGGGTTTGTTGTCCATCCCTGCTGCCTTTTAGCAGTCTGATAATTGAATACAGTGCTTAGTGTGAACAAAACAAAAGGTTTAGTTCTTCTTAGAGTATTGATATAGGAAACAGATGAAGAGAATGCAAAATAAAAATTGGAGAGGTTTCCATGTAAAGAAATACAACTCTCAGCAATCCACAAAAACTAACAGTCATTACTCAATCCACAAATAATTAATTTTTATCGATGAATAGTTGTGGGTGCCACATTATAGGAAATATGTGAATGTATTGGGCAGTGCACAGAAGAATGGTTTCAGGAATGGGAAACTTTAGTTATGAAGTTGAAGGAGCTGAGACTGTTCTCCTTCGAGAAGAGAAGGCTGAGAGGAGATTTGATACAGGTTTTCAAAGTAATGAGCAAGTTGGATAGAGTAGATAGGGAGAAACTGTTCCCATTCATAACAGGAAAAAAAGTTGAGGGCATAGATTCAAATTGATGTGCAAACAAAGCAAGGATGTGAACTTTTAAAAACAAAAAAAAGTTTTCATACAGCAGGTAATTAGGGTATGGAATGCATTGCCTGGAAACGTATGGAAACCGGTTCAGTTGAGGCATTTGACAGGGCTTTGGATGATTATTTGGATAGAAATGGTGTGCAAGGATGTGGAGGAAAGAGAGGAGATTAACTCTAGTTGATAGAACTGATGGAGGCACGATGGACCAAATAGCTTCCTCCTGCGCAATAACAATTGTTTCTGGTGAACTGCCTTTTTGAACCACTGCAGTCCATGTGCTCCAGCTGCTTTTAGAGAGGAAGTTCAAAGATTTTAACCCAGCAACACGAAAGGAATGATATATTTCCAAGTCAGGATGGTAAGTGGTTTGCATGTGATGATGTTCCCATTCGTCTGTTCGCCTTATCTTTCTAAGTGGTAGAGATCAGGATTTGGAAAGTGCTGTCAAAGGAGCCTTGACAAGTTGCTACAGTACATCTCACAAATAAAATACACTAGCTGTGGTTCATGTGGTGTTAGTGTGTAAATGCTGAAGATGGAATGTTAAATCACAGTGATGTGTGTGTACCAATAAGAGCTGTCTTCAAGAATCACTTTATTATACAGTAAAATTAGAGTTTCCTCATATTGAGTTACAGATACTTGTGTTCAAAAAATGCTGCTGAAGTAGGATAGACGACTTCGTGTTTTCCAATGCAAAGCTAGTGATTAGTCCCCCGTTTCAAATTAGGATAGTGGTTTTTAACACTTTTTAATAGTTTTGAAACAGCAACTCATAAGAAATAGCAGCAGGAGTAGACAATTTGGCCTCTCTAGCCAGCTCAATTTATTCAGTACGGGCATGGTTAATGTTTTACTTCAGCTTCATTTTCCCGCTTTCCATATCCAGTGATTCTCTGAAGATTTCCAAATGTTTGTCCACCTCGGACTTAAATATGTTCAATGATGGAGTGTCCACAACTTTCTGGGATGGAAAATTCCAAAGATTCTCTCAGCCCTCCAAGTGAAGAAATTTCTTCCCAGTCTAACTTATGACCTCTTATATTGAACCCTTGTTCCTGTGTTCTAAATTCCCCAGCCAGGGGAAACAACTTGGTGTTTACTATGTCTGCTCCCTTCAGAATTTTGACTGTTCCGATGAGATCAAGTCATTCTTCTAAATTCTGCAGGATATAGACCCAATTTACTCAGCCTGTCATCATAGAACATCCCTGTTACCACAGAGACCAACTTAGCAAAGCTTAGCAAAGTGCTGCTTCCAAGATAAATCCTATATATGTATCTGATGTTTCGTGGTAGACAGCACTCCCTTGTGTCTAATCCTCAGAACCGTTCAATTAAACTAATATCTGACCAGACAAGATGTGCTGTACTTCTAGAAAATTATATCTTTTTTTCTTTAAACCTATTATGTACCTTGTCAGTTTCCTGGTATTTCCAGTTGTACATGGGTAGGGAGTGGGATGCTGAAAAAAGGTATGGTGACAATCTTTTACAAAAGGTAAAGTCTTAGATTTATGCAGTGCATTTCATGACCATGGTATGTCCTAATGAGCTTTCTGGACAATATGTAGACACTGTTCTGGGGAAATAGGGCAACCAATTTGCACACAGCAAGTTCCCACAAAAATCAATAAATTAATGTCAAGTTTCAAATTAGGTAAGGTAGAAACCCCCAACCCACTATTCTTCAAAACAGTGCCATAGGATTTTTTGCATCTGTCTCAATGAGACAGGCAGGACTTCAGTTTATTTGAAATTAAAGCGTGGAAAAAGCCTATTCCATTGAGTGACAAGTAAACATCCAGTGCAATCCCACTTCCCACATCTTAATCCAAAAGATGATGCATCTAACAGTGCAGCAGTTCCTCAGTGCTAGAGCCTGGATTGTGTGGTTCAATCTCTGGAATGAATCAAGATGAGAGTGTCACTACTTCAAGCCCCATTCCAGAGATTTGCTCTTGAGTTGCTACATTTCAAGTAAGTTTGGAGCTCTGCCCACAGATGGGTGAATACTTCAAGTCTCCAAAGCTGTGTATCCAGGGAATGTAGTGTCGTACATTATGACACTGACCACACTTCAAAAGTGCTTCATTAGGTGTAATGTCCCAAGGTCGCGAATGGCACTTTGGAAATGCAAGTTTTTCCTTTCTGAGTCCCAGGAAAGGACTAAAAAGCTTTCGGTGTGAGGAGAAAGTTGCATCAGTCTGATCTGCTCTAGTGTGTCTCCTTGTGGCTGGACTCGGGATTCATGGAAGTCATCCAATGACAAATTCCCTTATCTGAGAAACTATCAACTAACTTAAAAGTTATGAATTCAAAATAGGAAGGCAAATTTCTTTTTTTTAAGAAAAGCACAATTATAAACATCAATAAAATGTAAAACAAGGTGCACTATCAATTTGCCAGATCAATACATGAAGTCACAATAAGACCTTATTCTGATACTGAACGCGAGGTTATGATTTTTACATCGTGCTGTAGAGTCACACTTTAGTTGCTTCAACTCCATCAAGTAATGACTGTTATGAATGTTTTGTGCTGCAATAATGGAGTTGTTCTTTGTTTGTTTGTCTTCTATCATAAGATAAAACATGTTCACAATTCATTACAACCACAACATAGACTAGTAGAAGCAGCCAGAAAGTTGGTTATTTTAATCACTCAAAGATTCCTAATTGTTAGTTGGACTACTTGATTGGTGATTTGTTGTTATCATCTAAGTGCATGTTGAGTGGTGTAGGTGGCCATGGCCTTCCAAACTTTCCAATCTTAGCAACTGCGGATGCCCTTCTTGTTGATGTTCTGATCATGTGGGTTTTTAATGCAGGCTAGCTGCTTGCTTCCCTGTTGGCATATTGATCCTTTTCTGCTAATCCTTCCAGTGGTGATTAGGCTCCAACCCTTCTGCATGGGTAGCATGTTTTTGGAAACCTACATATGACTTCTGTTGATATTATTTAAAATTTCTTTTATTCTTCCATAGTGTCTTGGTGCTGTTCATTAATTCGTCTCTACACCCAGCTTACATTTAGGATTCTTCTTAAGCACCTCATTTCAAAGCTGTTGATTTTTATTTTTTTCAATGCTCCAAACTTCATATCCGTTATTCATTACTGACTGGACATAATGTTTTAGTACATAATTTGGTTAAAAATTTTTGGTCCTTCCTTTTCTTATCCCAATCCATAGGCAGATGAATGCAAACCACATCAAGCCACCAAGAAACAAGACTGCTTCA